GCTGAGGGCTTCAGAGAATGGAGGTAGCATGATCGGTCCACAAGAAGAGCCCAGGCTGCAAGGTGATGTATGGGCTGCAGAGGTAGGGATCAGGGCAGTGAGACTCTCAGAAGCTGAGGCCAAAATCCAGTAGAGACGACAAAGGCCTAGATTGGCAAAGGAAGAGATAACACGGCAAGAGATAATACAGAGACAGAATTAACTTGATTCGGCACAAGGTGACCGTGGGTTTGAGCCAGCATGACCCTGAGGGCAGCCCTCTCCCGGGCTGGGCGCTGGGGTAGCAGCAGGAGATGGAAAGAAGAGAGTGAGTCTGACTGCGGGTGGCTGGGTGCGGGAATTGGGGTACCTCTGGGAGCCACATCCAGCAGGTAAGTGACAAGTCCAGAGTTCAGGAGAGACAGCCCCTTCCAGCCCTGAGGCATCTGGCTGTGTCTCTGTACTCATGCCACGTGTCTCTGCTGTACAGCAGCTTCAGGGCGGGGGAGAAGCCCCCTTGGGTGTGTTGTGCCGGGGGCTCCACACCCCTAGGGAAAGCCCTGAGGTCAGGTTAGCAGAAACATTCAGGCTCTCTTCGCTGAGCAGTGGCTTCCGATCCTTAGCGATCTAGAGTCTGTGGATCTAGCACGGACCCCCAAGATCCAGACTTTCCAACAGCTCCCCAGGTGCACCTGACAATCACCAGATTCAAGTACAGATTCACAGGTCCCATCAGCAGACTCTCCACTTCAAGGGGTTGGGTGGGCCCAGGAAGCTGAATGTTTTAGGAGGCGTTACCCCAAGTAACACCAGGGTACCCAGTCTGCTGACCATGCTTGGAGGACCCCTGCTCCCAGCAAATGTTCGGGTCAGACCCTGCAGCTGGAGCCTCTTTTCTCTGCCTCTGTTGAGAGAGTTGAGATCCAGAAGGGGCCTCTATGGAGATGGGCGGTTGCTAGTACCTGATGTGAGATGGAACGATAATAACCACCACGGCTGAGTGATAACTGCGGGCCAGGTACTATTCTGATGCCTCCACTGTCGATCTCTGTAACAACTTTCCCCATTTTGCAGGTGAGGCAACCGAGGCTTAAAGCAAAGGTCACACTGCTGGCAGGTGGTGGAGTCACGGTTGCAGGTGTGCGCTCCATAACTGCCACCTGCGCTGATGCGCGGGGTGAGCGCCCTGCCCTCTGGCTTCCCCTCTATAAAATGGAAGTAACTCTTCCCGCCTGCTTCCTGGAGACGCTGGGGTCTCAACAACTCTGATGATCATAAAGTCCCCGGGGACGCCAGCAGCGCTTTCTCCAAGCAGCACCCCTGCCGCTTCCGTGACCCCTCAGCTGGTCTGAATGCCACCTACAGGGAGCATGTCTAGAGCCTCTGCCCACGCATCACTGGATGGGAAGGGTAAAGGATATTCCCTCTGCCCCACACGGACGGCCCCTTACAAAGATATCGTTGTACATTTCTCAATAGGAGGCTCTGTTTGATGGCAATAATATTATTTTCTGCTGCTGACGTGTCACCTCCGTTTCCAAACTGGGAATATTCAGCTGCATTTTCCACCACAGGCTGTGCCATTTCAGACCGAAATGGAGCCTCCAGGTCCCGAGACCTGGGAAACACACAGCAAGCGGCAGGTGAAGACACATCAGGTGACATGGCTTGGAGCAACTCAGAAAGCTGGGAGGGAGGGGCTGCAGGTGGTATGGTGCCAATTTCCTTCAGTGGCTTTTGTTTCTGTAAGTTTTCACTTGAATCCCTTCAACGTGCCCGAAATACTTAGTTCTGGCCTCAATACTCATTAAAGAAGCTACAATCTCACCGAAGGAGCAGGTCACAGGTCCCGACCCACTAAGCTAGCTATGCCTCTTTGCAAGGCTCCCACTATAAAGCGGGCTCCAGCCGCGGACTCAGTTAAAGCAATGCAGAACGCCATGACTGGCAAGCAGGAAAAAGAAGCCTGATTTCCTCATCTGTATTATTGCCACGTTATCTCCTGAGGGAAGGGCAGGCAGTGGGAATTCTACAGAGGTCAGTAACCACAGGTGGGCATTTGCAGGAGTAGATATTTTTCTCAGGATACACAAGCAGTGGAGTTTGGGGTGTGACAACTGTGACCACATCGCCACTACCTCTGATTACTTTCGTCCTTCGAGATCTCCTTAAATCGCCCTCCTCTTTGACTGCATCACCACCCTGCATTAAAATACGCTTGCATTCTGCTCAAGTGAGAGGGGCAGGCAGTCTGATTTCTCCCTCCTCCTTCGTTCTGAGCTGCCACAAGGTCATCCGCTGCCTATTCTGGGCCCTCGGTACAGGTGCAGGACTTGTGGAGAGATCCCTGGTCTCTGCACACAAGGAACCCACCTGGCAGGAAGGGAAAGATGCCCACAACCACTGAGAAAGAAGGCCAAAGGGAAGGTCAGGGTGTCAGCAGGAAGGGATGCACCCACGTGTGACAGTGGTGGTGGGAGGGAAGGCAGAAAGGGACAAGAAGCAGGAGAGGGGCCAAAGAACCGGACAAGTGTTGAGAAGTGAAAACGCACATTCGAGAATGCAGGATGGGGTCTTTCAAGTAAGTCGGAGAGAAAGCAGGGCTTTGGTGCATTGTGATGCGAAGTGCATCTGATTAGAGGCAAACTCTGTCTCTGAGCTCAGTGAATCGCCAAACGTGGGCGCTGGAAAGGGGCATCCAGGGTCATCTAGTGCAAATCCTTCACTGTGCAGACGAGCAGCCCAAAAAAGCGAGATGACTCGTCCAAGGTCACACAGCAAGTTAGTGCCCTGGTTGGGGGTATTTCCACCTCGGAGGGCTGTCCCTCAGCCCAATGATAGATGTCACTGATCGCTCCCTTAGGAAATATTATTTGTGACCTATTAACACTCTGTGACCAAGGCACAGGCCTACAGGGCCCCCACAGGGACTCCAAACTGAGGCAGATTATAACCTTGGCTTGGTCTTCTAGGCTGACACCCAGGCCATCTGTGCTTCTCCAAGCTCCAGTGTGGCTCCACGGCTGGCCCTGGAGGAGGGGCGGAAATGCCCACTAGTGCCAGTGAGTCCTGACAGATGCCACTGACAAAACAGCAGGCGTCAACACTAGGCCAGAGTCCCAAAGGGTGTGCAGTTGCCAACACCGCCACCACCAAGAACAGCGCCCTCTAGGTTAGAAAGTAATACGTGCGGCAAGAAAGAGGCAGCAACAGTAAGGCTTAAACTTGGATGATCTTTCTGGTCAGTGATGACACCCCGGAGACCAGAAAGGACACAAGGAGGTGAGTGTGTGATTTAAAAAGTCGAAGAGCTCGAACTAGAATGGGATAGCAGTGTTCTTCTGGGTGGTAGGGCAGACAAGAGGAAGCTCAGAAACAGACCCTAAAGTTACACGTAAAGAGCATCATTCTGCAAAGTAACCAGCAAGATAGGTTTTTTTTCTAAAGCAGAAAGAGCTAAGTTCTTTCCACTTGGACCCTCTTCTGAAATGAACTATAAGCTTTTAAGACAGACTGTATATTGACTTTCACTCTTGGATAAAATCTTTATAAAAAAATGAAATAGTGCCAATGGCAGCAACATCGATGGACCTAGAGATTATTGTGCTAAGTGAAGTTGGACAGAGAAAGATAAATATCATATGACATTACTTATATGTGGAACCAAAAAGAAAAAAATGATACAAATAAACTTATTTGCAAAACAGAAACAGACTCACAGACATGGAAACAAACTTATGGTTACCAAAGGGGAAAGGGGAGAAGGGATAAATTAGCAGTTTGGGATTAACAGATACACACTACTATACATTAAACAGATAAACAACAAGGTCCTACTGTATAGCACAGGTAACTATATTCAATATCCTGTAATAAATCATAATGGAAAAGGATATGAAAAAGAATAGATACATATAGATATATAACTGAATCACTTTGCTGTACACCTGAAACTAACACAACATTGTAAATCGACTACACTTCAATAAAAAAATTTTTTAAAAAGTGTGTCTGGTGGGCCACTGTGCAACCTGCCTACCTCCTCAAACTCAAAATGATATTTGCGGGCTTCCCTGGTGGCGCAGTGCTTGAGAGTCCGCCTGCCGATGCAGGAGACGCGGGTTCGTGCCCCGTTTCGGGAGGATCCCACATGCCGCGGAGCGGCTGGGCCCGTGGGCCGTGGCCGCTGAGCCTGCGCGTCCGGAGCCTGTGCTCCGCAAATGGGAGAGGCCACAACAGTGAGAGGCCCACATAACGCAAGAAAAAAAAAAAAAAAAAAAAATGATATTTGCCAAAGGGACAATCAACAGACATGCTGGAAACTGACCATTCACAAGCAAACTCTTCACAATTGTCAGGAAATATCCTTTAGATTTAGCTGAATGAAAAGCATAAATCCAACTGAGCGATGTTTACAGGGCACCCAGCTGTTCACAGCAGCAATTTTCATATCTAAACAACTGATATCTGTGGGTGCTTCTCCAAGCAGGACTGCCCAATTCCATTTATGTCAAACCCAGGCCAGGAAGTAATCCCTCCACTTGATTTTCCTATCAGTGGAATTGACGTTCATGGTTCAACAGTTCATTTGCTGTACCCTGGCCTCATTCCAAGAACATACACACTCAGGAATTCTTTAAGAGTCAAAATCAAATAGTTAGGAGCAAAGGCTCAAAACTAATAGCTTTGAAGATTATTCCAAATGCTGTGTTTTCAAAGTGACCACAATCAAATCACATTTTCAGGTTAAGGAAGACAAAAGTTCTCAAGCAGAGAAAGCAAGAAGCCACTCTTTTATCCTACCAAAATTCTCTAGAAGCGTATTCTCAAGTTCAACTGGAGAACCTCGGGGCTGGACAGAAAATGAGACTAAGGCTGGCCCACCCTCACCCCCTTACGTGGTAGATCCGTCCACTGCTTAGTTCCGCAACCTTTAGAAGGAAAGACTCAAACAACACAGACTCATTTTCAAACGATAATGGTTCCCAAGCCCTAAGATTATTCTTTGTAAGCTGTCTTACTGATCATGGTGGTTCCCCCAGCCAGGGCTGCCTTGGTGCCTTGAAAGAAGTCATCAGCAGAGGTCATCCCCTGATCGGGCATCTGGAAGCGGGTATGGACATCAATCCCTCCAGGGATCACCATTCTGGAATGGGCTTCAATGGTCTTCACCCCTCCTGGAACAATCAGGTTTTCTCCTATTTGCCTAAATAAACAGGGTGGGTGATAATGATTGTAAAGAAATGTCCTAAATCAAACGGGATCTGACAGACATTTTCACCACGCCATAAACAACCCTTCCCTATGTTCTAAAGACTCTTCCGATTATTGTTAGCATTCATAATCTGTGCACCCTTCACTCCCTACCCTCAGGAGGCAATGCAGAGCATACTAGAAAACAAAATCTAAATAAGGCATCAGAGGCCAATCAAAGAGGCTTAGTTACCAGAAAACCCATATGACCAAATGATAACAAAGCCCTGAGATATTTACATAAAATATCACTATACTTTCCTTACAACACACTCAGTTGAGTTAATTATCCTGTAACAATTTTCTCCAGACCTGGCTGCACTTTACAAACATTTATTTTCACCATATCCTTTCCAACTAAGAGAAATGAGGAGTAGAAGGGTAGGGAATAGAACAAAACAAAGCAAAGATAATAATAAGAAGTAAACACTGTGATTGCAACTATTTAAAAATTTGGAAGCATGTGATCAGCAACTCAGATAACAAAGGCGGCAAAATTAATATTCATTAAGTTGGGTAACAAGGATTCATTTCCAATTTTTAAAAAATATCTCTGCTACATCTTTAGGCTAGTTTTTGGAAAAGGAAAAAGTAATTAATCAAGGGGGAGTTGGTAAAGTTCTAAGACAAATCAGTGATGAGTAAAAATATGACACAGGCTTGTTCACTTCTACAGAGTCTTACAGACCAGATCATGCTGCTTTCCACTTGGGGGAAAAATGGAACATGAAAGTCATGGTATTTCAGAGCCTGGAGCTGAGACTGTCACAAGCAAACACACATGGAGAAAACATTAAATGTGGAAATGTTAAAACCTCTTTTTGGCTCATAAATCAAGGTGTGAGTTTCCAGGCAACAGACACGTCCACTACAATTTTCCACTCCTCTGGACCGGTTTGCTGCTTGCCCTTGATAAATGCTGCTTATTTAAAAGATGTCATTTGCAGCAGTGTTTGTCTTTGAACAGATGTGCTATTTCTTCAGAGCCCTCTGAGCTGTCCCAGTCGGAAGGGCACGAGGATATTGAGATGTTCTCAGCTCACTTAACCCTCTAGGACCCAAAAATACCCTAATTCAGTAATGGCTTTGTTGTTTTCTCCTTTGAAACACAATACACAATAAACACAAGGGCAGTCCCATTTGTGTTAGCTGCCACTTAAAAAATGAAACCTAAAATTCCCTCAGAATGAGGCAGTAATTTGTCTCTGACTTAGTAATTAATTTGGTGCCCATTGCCCCCAACAACTTGGATTCTTGATTAAGAAGGCAGATGTGTTATCATGATAGAAGAGGCTGTACTTCCCATTTGTGTCCTTTGATTGTCCTATCCACCCCACACAAGTACATTCTAGTAAAACCTTTAATATAGTCAATGGATCATAACCTGAGTATGTGGCAACAAGAAGATGTTGTGTCACCTCGGTTAAAAATAGTCAATTACATAACACGTAAGGAAATGGGTGTGGATTTAATTGTGGTTTTGAATTCCCTAAATCTGAGTTTTCAAACTCACTAATTACCACCAATCAAACTAGGCTTAAACAGATACTGAGTTAGTCTCTAAATCACTACAGCTTGATACTACGGGTGTGAATTGTAGCTAATGCTTAGGAACACTGCAAGGTACCCAAATTTGTGGCAATATTGAGTTACACTTACTTGATCAACCCATCTTCCATGTATATGTCTGCATAGAATGACTGGTCGTCATTAACGATTTTACCTCCTTTGATCAGAAGACGATCACTCTGAAACAAAGAAGTCGTAAGGTCACAATTCGTAACTGATCCATGAGAAACAGTTGGTAGTAAGATAAATGAGCTAAGACCACATTTTCATTGCTCAAAAGTGATGCTCAAAATGAGCCAATTTTGGAAAGACTCGGTGACAAAGGTGAGTCTGTATTTGGCAATCTACTCATCACTTGATGAGTCAGAACATACTGGCAAAGCTCAAAGCTTACCCTAGAGAAAAAAAAGAGAAAGAAAAAAAAAAAACACAACAGAGACAACCACCATCTATTTCCATTAGACCTACAAGCACAAAAGAGAAAGAATGAAAAAAACAGCCTAACAATCTTCCTTTAAAGATCAGTAAAAAGATTTCAGATAAAGAAGGCAATCACTTTAAATGGCTTTAGGCTAAACTTCATTTGAAAAAAATAATACACCCACATGTAGCGGAAGTCGATTCTTGGTGAGATTTGGAAAATTTAACCAAGTCTGTTGTCATGGGATACTGTACACAAACACACTTGGTTCATCCATAGCAAGGTTTCAATTCAGTATGTTCTTTATATTTGCATTTATCTTCGAGGTAAATCACAACAATTGTAGCAAAGTGGGGGAAAAAACATTTCAAACATGCACCATTTTAACTATTAAGCTGTTAAGAAAAAGGTAAAGTTTTAGAATAAAGTAGGTGAGATGGCAAGTTCTAAAATCTAACACTATTATTGACTGTACACATGCTGATACTTTAATTGGTACAAAAAATATATGACAAGCAGCATATAAGAGCCAAGAATGTAACAAAAATGTTACATGATGATTCATCTCTATCCCAAATGCTGTTGATGGAATGCTATGCTAAAATTCTGTGTTCAATGGACACGCACCTGTATTAGTCCCTGCTGGGTTTAAATGACTGCCTTTTTAACTATGCAGAGCGCTTCAAAGGACAGCGCTCATTTTGACAATGGTTAACTCAAAATTCAGTTAAGAATAATATTCTCAGCAAGTGCTTTACATTTAGCACCTACCAAGAAGAAATTACAGCAACTTTTAAAATATATATATAAGCTACTAGAGACCTAGGAAAAAAGATACTTTTACACAGAAATGCACACACCCCTGGGTTTAGAAAGTATTTATTGTTTTTCTAACATCATGAGAAACATGAAGATTATTTTAATTGTTACACTGTAAGGACCTTCATCCTGCTGTAGGGTTTGGAAAGTCAAATGGGAATAGTCAGCAACGATTCCTGCATTTATATAAGGCAAAGGTTAAGACCTTTACAAAATCCTGTCCTGTAAACCATGTCACCCAAGCCTCAAATCAAATCTGTGAGGTGATGGGAGCTAGATTCTTGTCCCAAGGACACATAAAGAAACTGAGGCTCAGAGAGGTTAAGCCACTGGCCCAAGGTCACCTGATCCAGTGCACTTATCTGTCTACAATGATCTTCCCCTCTTCCCCAGAATCCAGCTCTGATGGGATAAATATCGCCTGGGAGGCAAAGAGAAGCCCTGCCCTTCACCACCTGTTCCCCTTAGTCACTGCAGTACCTGTTCCAGCCATCATGCGAATCCCCGAGCCAACATCGTGTTGAGAAAAAAAATGAAACATCACAGCCCCGCTCACTCGAGTGGCATCTTACATAACAGGCTGGCCGTGCTGACGGAGGAAGGGAAACCATGCTATAGGTCCTACGATAATGCCACCAGATTTTGTTAAAGGGCAGAGGGGGCGCCCTTCTAAAAATCAGTCTTGTTGATTGTTTGCTTTTTGAATTATTTTCTCCCCACACTGTCAAAACGAAACTGCCTTCCTTCATTCACAAAGACAGCAGAGTACTTGAGGCTTGCAGCAAATCTGCTCTCCACCCCACTACCCAGATTCCTTCCTGCAGTGCAAGGAACACATAACGCTGGGTCCCCCGGCGCTCTGCCCTTTGGGATCTCGGGTCCTTGGCCCTCAAGAAAAAGCTAGTACCCACCCCCCGCTGTAGAACAACTCATCCTATGAATCCTCCCGAGCACACGCCCCTTCCCCTGTGCATGTGCTCCCACATCTCTCTCCTGCGGATGGGTGTGCCCTTGTACATCCAGTGGAAGTCGGGGTACCCGTGGCTAAGGAGGAAACCAGAGCGAAAGCACCCCCTCAAACCCAGCCCTAAACACATCTGGACTTTTCAAAAATTCTTTCGGTCACCGCCTCAGCCCTGGGTTCTACCCAGCAATCAGCTGGCCCATTGCAATTGCACATCATTACATAACAATGAATTTCCCTCGCGTTCCTCCCTCCCCGGGATTTCATTCGGGGATGTAGAGAAATAGGACTGGCGAGACTTTTCCGGGAAAAGATGGGGAGAAGATGGGGGCGGGGGAGCAGAGGGAACAAGAACCTGTGTTCATCGCCGAAGCATCGCAAAGTCATCGCTTGGAGCTTCTCGTGATTTACAAACTAACAACCCCAGGCCCCAGAGCTGCGCCGGCATCTCCGGCCTCTGCGATCATTGTCTGGCCGAGGCCGGGCCATCTGCTCCGCGCGTCGCGCAGCGCCATTACCTCCCAGAGCCCGGCTCGGCGCTGTCCCCAACGCCCACCCTCCCAGCCCGCTTTCCCCAACGCCCACCCTCCCAGCCCGCTTTGTATGCGCCAACACGGACGCCTCCCCGGCTGCAGAAGGGGCAGAAAGACACAAGAAAGCGAGCCCAGAGCCGCCAGGGTCCCAGCCCCAAACCACTGGGCGAGGAAGCCGAGAGGGCCACCAAAAACCGGACCCGGCCAACAAAAAGCCCACGCCTACCTCCCCCCCTCCTCTGCTCATCACCGCGTCCCTGTTTTTCCTTCCCGTTTCCACAGGATCCCGGTACACCCAGCCCTTTTCAGCATCCCTCTGCTGTCATTACGCCTCCGAGCTAAAACCCGCTCCTTTTTCTGAGGAACCGGAGGAAGGCTCCAGAAAGCCCTTTATGGTGGGTGGCGGGAGATACAGGGAGAATCCATTTCCCCATCTCCCCATCCAGCTCCTGGAGTCCAGCTCCTGGAGTCCAGCATCGCAGCACGCAGCCGGGAGAACAATATCCGAGCTTCAACCATGCATATTCAATCTGGCATCCATTTGCTTACACCCCGCAGGCCAGCACTACAGCATCTCGCTCTGACAATAAAAGGATACAGCGGATCTGGCGCGCTATCTAAAACGACCTTAATGCACTCACGCTCCTATTTTAATGCCTTAGAAACTATATGGCTTACAATTCTATAGGATTGCGTCTCCCATCACGATCGCCTTCTTTAGCAACAAGGGGAAAAAAGGAAAAAAAAAAAGTTGGGTCTCTCTTCCTCCCCCTCCTTTAAAAAAAATTCCTTATATGTTCTGTGCCACAAAAGGTTGCTGGCCGATCGCAGATTTCACAAGTACCAAACTCACCGTGATGCGTGGAATATTTTTCTTCCCCTGATAAGACATCTCTCTCCTGGGAAAAAATTAATTTCAAGAGGGCAGCTTTAAAACAAAAATTGCCCGGAAAGAGACTTGGTATTTTTTGCAGGATTGAAAAATGTGCAGCCGCTTAGCTGGTCTTGCTGATAGAAATTTTCAGGAATGTTAAGGGATAAATGCAATCCTCTGTCTCCCTTTCTTCCTCTCCTCCAACACTGCCTCAGCTAGGGTGGAAAAAAAGAAAGAGAGAGAGGGAGAGAGAGACAGAGAGACAGAAAGAGAGAGAGAGCAGTAGGGAAGGGGGTGGAAATAAACTACAGCAATAAAAGCCTCGGTTCAAGTCGGCCACCGCGGCGCATGCGTCGCCAGCCACTCCCTTTCCTCTCAGGCCAAACCCGTCCGCTTCGAGATAGACGAGTCCTGATTGGCCACAATCGTGGGATATGCAAATGAGTGCAGGCGGGGAGGGGTGCGGCGCAAGAGCGCGAATTGCTGCAGTGTGCGGCCGAGGGCGGCGGTCGGTGCGTGCGCCCGAGCGGGGAGCGCGCCTTTCGCGCCCTTTCTTTGCACTGGTGCATCGGTCACCCGGGCTGGCAGCGGCCCCAAATGCAGCATCAGCATCGCAGGGACAGCGGAGGGGTGGTCATTACGGGCAGGGAGAACCGCGCCCCGCGACGGTGGGCTTCGGTGCGGCCCGGGCGGCGGGCTTCGGTGCGGCCTAGGCAGCACGCACCCGCTCGCGCGCGCCCCGGTGGATGCTCGCCCGCGCGCCAATCCGCGGAGGCCGCCGCTGCAGCCCGCGTGGGGTGACTGCGCCGAGCCAATAGCTTTGCTGGCGGCGAGCGCGCGACTGCACGGCCGCCCGGCGCCGCGCCGCCCGGGAGGGGCGCCCAAGTACTCCTCCCGCCGCCGCCGTCGCCTTTCGCGAAGGCTCGCTCGGCCTCCGCCCAGGAGTCGAAGGGGGAATTCAGATGGCCGCGAGCGGAGGGAAGGGGAGCGGGACGGGGAGTCTCCGCGCGGCGCCGCGCCGGCCACGCCCAGCCCCGGAGAGGGGCCGCTGGCCGCGGGCCTGCGGGCGGCCGGCGCCGGGCTGGGCTCCCCCGGGGTGGAGGAGCGCGGGCCCGAGGTGAGGCAGCAAACAGGAAGTGGAGCCGGAGGCCGGGCTTCGGGCATCAGTGGCCTGGCAGCTAGCTGGAAAGGAAAGTCCGAAGCCCTCACTGCTCTGAGTAGGGAAGGAAGGCAGCCGGGGAAGACTGTAGCCCGCTGCTGGGGATGGAAACCCCGCCCTGAAACGTCCTTTTGTGCCTTGGGGTCGCAAGGAACTTGGGGGCAGCGGGGGAAGCAGCAGCCGCCTGTTGAGACCAAAAAAGGCCCAATCTAGGGCCCGGGTCTCCTCTTTAACAGTCACGCTCACCTACACCCACTTCGGGGTATGGTGGAGAGAGTGCATTTCGCTGCTGCCTGCAGTTTTGTTGAGGAGAAACTGTTGGGATTGCAGCGCCCTAGGAGCCCAAAGGATTTGCATTGCTATAGGCGGGCCCCTACTTCACATAATGAGGCCAGAAGCCGGGAGATGAACTGGAGAAGCAGGAGGAATGAAAAAAAGGCGAGCTTATATCCTAAAAAGCAAGGGATCCTGAGTCATGAAGAGAACCTCCCAGAATCTGAGTTTAAAACACGGGAGACTTGACTCCCCAGCCAGAGATCCTATCACACTTACAGCAGCTTTTAAGGCCTCTCTTCTTGGGCTAGCACCTGAGCAGGCTGGGACCCCTTGCCTCTGTCCAAGTCCTGCTCTGATGCTCTTACTTCAGAATCCCTGTAGAAGGAAAAAGCTGGACCAGTTGGTCCCGAGCAATCTACCAAAGGTCATCTCTTTGGAAAGCTGCCCAGCCAGGTACAATGACAAACATCTGGGCTGGCCCACAGCTTTGGGCTTCTCTGCTTGAGATCAAACAATAGATAGAATCCCTACATAAACTAGGCCTATCAGGCAACCATGAAAAAAAAAAAAAAACCAAAGAATCTAATTGGCTCACACCTGATCAGCAAAGATTAGCCAGATAAATGCAAAATAATCCTGAGGCTACTATGGGCCCATGTTTCAAAGTCTTTCTGCATCTGGCCACTTTGGATGGTTATTTGTCCAGAAGGTGTAAAATGCACCCTTTCGTTCCTATTCCTGTAAATTCTGAAGTCCCAGAAGGGCTGTGAGGCATGCAGCAAGCTTCCCGGCTGGTTATTTCATTCCAGTTCCAATTAGCTGTGCATCTTAAAAATGAAAAGGGAGCACTTCCCCCTCCAACTACTTGATGTGCTAAGAGCCAAGTGAGTTGAAGTTAGCAAGTATTGGTGTCACCCTAAAAGGGTCAAAGTCACAAGTCTGAGAAAGCATAGAATGCACCCTCCTACCTGAGAAAACCCACTGTAGGTTCCAACTAGCAGTGGCAGGGGAGAGGGCAGCAGGGGGACGAGTGTCCTATTAAATCATAAGGAAAATACTACTTGGCAAACAAATAATGAGTCAAGTTAATTTAAAACAAAATAACCTCTAATTACATTATTTGTTTATATTCTTGTTCTGTCTTCCTGCTCCTGAACTGCTTGATCATAACAGCTTTAACTATACCTTGTTATTTATCAGTTTGCCCTTGAATATTTTGCTCCCAGGAGCTTTTATGTCCATCTTATTTGTATCAGTCTTATTTCTATACCCATTCATATGAGGTTCCTAGTCCATGATAACTGACATTACCACTCATAAATATCTAAAGATGTAAGGTGTAAATTGATTTGTCTTTTCTGAGTAGAGCCTAAGAGTATTTGGCACATAGAAGATTCCAAATAGTTTTAACTGACCAAGGAAAAGAACTGTCAGCAATCTGCACTTTTTAGCATACTTCCCACTCAATGCAATGCAGAAAAGCAAAGGACGTGGGGGAGACTTTTCCACCCACTCTGCATTGATTGACTTATTAATATACAGTATTTTTACACTGTCTTTAGGCAAACACTCAATCACAATTGCCTGTAAAGTTAAAAATCATTGTCCCTGAACCATATATATGAACCGATTCTCAGGCATTGATTTTTCTGAATTTTTAAAAAGTTAAAAGCATTATGGGCTTCCCTGGTGGCGCAGTGGTTGAGAGTCCGCCTGCCGATGCAGGGGACGTGGGTTCGTGCCCCGGTCCGGGAAGATCCCACATGCCGCGGAGCTGCTGGGCCCGTGAGCCATGGCCGCTGAGCCTGCGCGTCCGGAGCCTGTGCTCCGCAACGGGAGAGGCCACAACAGTGAGAGGCCCGCGTACCGCAAAAAAAAAAAAAAGTTAAAGCATTATAAGCTGGCCTAGTCCACATTCATGACCCCTTCCCAGAGCCCCTGCCTCCCCACTTCCCATACTCCTCCCCCAGCATCCAGAAAGAGCAAGAAGTGATGAACAGCGGGTTAATGAAATGGTTCTATGCCGGGCATCCTGGTGATCTGGAGGACGGGAGAACTTGCCTGGTGATCCATGAGCAGCAGGGATGAGTTCTACTCCAGGGCTGCACCAGACCGACCACCGTCTCTCTGGAGCCTCATCTCCCACCTCTCAGCACCCACGACCCGACACCCAGGCTCAGGGGGGTGCATGCACACACACACCAACACACGCACTGCCCTCCGAGCCGCGTGCCTTCTCAAATCCAGGCCCGCGGATGCTGCTCCCTTTTCCTGCTCCCTCAACACTTCCCCTAAGCGCGAGCTGAGGGACTTCCGGTTGGTCCGGTGGTTAAGACTCTGTACTTCCGTTGTAGGAGGCGTGGGTTCAATTCCTGGTCGGGGAACTAAGATCCCACAGGCTGCACGGCGCGGCCAAAACAATAAATAAATAGATAAGAGTGAGCTTAAATGTCACCTCCTCAGCGGGTGCATCTGCACCCATCCACCCCCCAAAGCATTGAGCACAGCCTCCTGTATTCACCTCTGCTGTAACACACATCCTGTTGCATCGTAATTACTTGTCCATTTCTTCTATCAGAGCATGGCTCCCAGAAGCTAAGAGCCTTGTATTCCTCTTTTTCCAGTGACCAGCACACTGCCTGATCCGTGGCGGGACCCTCAACATTTGGTACATAAACAAATGCTGTAATTGCTATTACAAGAAAAAAGACTCACATCCCTACGGAGGTGAGTTTGGTTGTCAGCAACATCCCCAGCTCAGGCCTTTCTTTTAGCCCTGCCACCTTGCTGGGGCTTCCTTCCTGGCCAGCCCACTCCTGTCCTCTGAAACTGCATGAGGACCTTGTTAGAATGCAGCTTATTATTCCTCGCATAGGTGTAGCTACCTGAATCTTAAGCTACGCCTCCGCTAAACAAAACTGCCACGTACCACCAAGACTGAGAATGCGCGGGGAGAGAGCATCGAATCCTAAAACAACTCCAGCATCAGACGAGGCGTCTCTAGTCATTTTTTCTCAGCATCAGTTTCTTCAATCGTTCTTTTCTCCACCCTCCCATTATTCCTTGCATGTGCCCATATTATGCCATTTATCATATTACTCCATCAACAAACACACTACTACCCTCACCTATAACCAGGTGAGCACGGTTTTCCTTCCATGTAAAGTTTGAGTTTGTGGTGTCTAGGAACTCTCAAAAGTCTTACTCATCCCTTACGCTAATATGGGGCCCGACAGCGTAAGGGCTCAAGAAGGATGGGGTGCATGGAGTGATGACATCCAGTCAGGATTTTTAAGGTGTTCCCATGTTACAACCTGCCAGGAACTGCGGGCGGGAGGTGAGGTACTGTCACTCAGGCACTCCGGGGTGACGGGGCTGCTTTCGGTTCCTCAGCACCCTCAGCAGCAGTCCCAGACCAGCCCTGCCACTGCCCTTGGTTTCTTCTTCCCCCTCTGGGGAGCAGGGGTAACCATTTCTGCTTCTGTGGCCCCCCGGACCTCTGTGGAAGTGGAACCTAGAGGATGTCACCGAGCAGGGAAAGTCCAAATATAAATTGCTGGTAAAGAAGAGAAGATTTCAAGTC